GGGCGGGGGGCGGAGGTAGCGAGGAGCAGAGCGGGCTGAGCGGGCTGGGCAAGGCGCCGCGGACGCCAACAGCAGCAGGTATGTATCCCTACCGGGGTTGCAGGGTTCAGGGTGCAGGGTGCGTGCCCGGGACGGGGTCCAGCCCTGACCTTCATCCCTGGCCCAGAGCCCGCAGGGTGCGTGCGCGGGGCAGCCCGGGGCTTCGGTCCAGCCCAGGGACCCTCAGCTGGTCACATGCTTATTTATTTTTGCAGAGTGCCCTGGGCCGGGCCCAGCTGCAGATTCCTCCCGTGCTTTGCCTCCGTGTGCCATCTTGCATTTATTAATAAATCATGGTGGGGGGCTGCTGCTGGGGAATCCCATTGCAGTAGGGCAAGCAGGCGCAGGTTTTCGGTTTTCAGACGTGGTAGAGAGGTGGAAACCCCGCACCCCGGGGATCTGTGGTTTGGTGGGTCGTGACCACTTCCAGTCCTGGTGGGTTCCTTCGCTATCGGGAGCGCCCAGCGGCAGAGCAGGCTGGGCTGGCTGGGAAGGACAGTGGGTTTTCACTGTCAGGCCAGAACCCTGTTCAGGGCACAGGTTCAAGCTACAGCGGTCCCTGCTTGCTAACTTGCCAGGGAGACTTAGACCCGGAGAACTGCCTCCGTGGATTCCCAAGAGCGGCCTTGAACAAAATCCCTGAGACTTGCATACTCAAACTCATTAAGATTTTGCATTTGAAGATGACTAAAACTAGCCACCTGTTGGAAGTCAGACCCCAGGAAAGCCCTATACTCCACCCCAATTCCCAGTTCTCAATATTGAGATGGCAGTAGGCCCATGTGGGCTTATTCTATCCTCCTTTAATGCTATTTGGCATTTTTTCTTTTAAAATAAAATCCATGATTTGATGCTTCAGATGACATAGTTTGAAATAATACAGTTTGTATTCCATATGCATACCTGTAACATTGCATTCTAAGGACTGAATTTCTTTTAAGTATGTGTTGCCTACTTCCCTGGCTGTTCACTTACTTTGAGCAGCAGTCAGAAAAGTGTGATGTATATAACCGCTTACCTGTTACTTGCCCCAAAATAATGTGATGAAAAGAACAGTAAGAGCTAGAAGTGTAGAATCAAATGATTATTACAAGATGTTGGAGTATGAGGGCTGGATCATAGTGCGACATCTAACGACAAGGGTGCTCGTGTATACCAAGTGCTGAGCTAGAGCTGTTTATGCATGATCTGCCTGAGTCTTCACAACCTGTTACCACCATGTTGAAGATGAGGACGCTAAGACTTAGAAAGGTTAACTGACTTGCCCAAGATCACATTGTCAGGGACATGGCAAGGATGCAGCCTCAACTGCACCTAATTATTGGAGTGAGGGAGAAAGAAGGAGGACAGTCTTTAACCCCATTGTGCAAGCATATGCATGAACACACCAATTTGTCTGGTTTTCCTTTTCATAGATTCCACACCAACATTTTTGTGGTTTTCCATTAAGAGAAACTGCTGTTTCAGAATGGGCCTATATGGAATTTTTTTTGAGAGGGCACTAAACCTGCTTTTTAAAATGGACTTTAAGACATCCTTCTGTTAAACTCTCCTACATAAGCAGTTAAGTTCATACGTTGTTTCACTCCTGATTTAAACCTACAAAGTGTATATGAATCAGGTAGAATGATTGCTCACGTTTTTCACGATCTCATTTCTGCATGTTATCTCCTGGTCTCACTGCTAGTCATCATAACAACACTATCACACTTTTGTGTGTGTGCCTTAATGTGGTGAAAGAATCCAGACCAGCCATGGACCATGAGCTCATCTCTTTATAATTGTATCAATTATTCATTCAAATTTATTGGAATGTGTGCATTCAACTATGGATGTGTATTTAAACATTTTTGGGGGCAAATACATTATTATAGACAGGCTTTTGATTTTGTTACACATTCTTGCTATTGAGATAGTGGTGAGAAGGATATACCATAGGTTTGTTCACTTTGGACCCATATATACTAAAATTGGAATGATAAAGAGAAGATTAGCATAGCCTCTGCACAAGGATCACATGAAAATTTGTGAAGTGTTCCATATTTTTTTTAAAAAGAAAGGTACACCATAGGTGAATACAGTATAAGCAATTATTTGAAAAGTACATCCCATTGAAATTATAGCTTTTAATGATCAGTTGATGAATACTATTAAGTAGGAAATATAAGATTGTCTCTTGAAAATTCTATGAGCTGTATTCTTCTTTGGGCAGTGTAACTGCTTTTAGAGCAGCCAGGATGTTACCTTTGCCACTATAGAGGACTGTGTTCTGTTAACAGTAAACCATTCTGTATAGCAGCCTTGCCTCATGGAAAACACTCAGTTTTGGAAGAGTGCATTGCCTGATGCTTACAGAAGTGCCGAGGTGGAATTTTTCTGCCCTGGGGAATTTCCAGCCTGTGATCAGACAATCTCAAGTGGAAGCCTGATGGTACTGTACTGGGGAAGGAACAGAAAGCAGAGAGGCGTTGCTTGATTCCTAGAAAAGAGGTGGGTTTTCCTGTGAGAAGCATCCCTCTCCCCTCCAGTTAGGAGTGTCATAAAATCTCAGGTGAGGGATAAACTAGTCTGCTGCCTCCCATTCCAGCAGGATTTCGTTTAATACAGGAGCCAGGCACCCCTTTTGGTACAAAGGGCAATTCAGGGGAGTAAAAATGAGTCTAGACTACATTTTTTCCCTTTAAATGTATTTTTAAACTGGGAAAAGCCGTATGGGCCATTATGGATACTAAGCATAATTTTGTATTCCCCTCACCAAGAGTGTATTTTTGGAGGGAAGAGAGAACTCAGTTTTCTAAGATACAGAACTCACTGGTTATAATGCACATTTTGATCCCATTGAGTAAAGACCCTGGGAACTGTGATATCTGTGTTCCCTTGACTGGCCTTACAAGCTACTTAGCTTTGAAATGTAGTTTTTCTCATAGTATTCCTTAATTTAGTATTGTCTAAAATGAAATTTTTGGGTCAAGCTTGGTGGTGCACGCCTGTAATCACATTGCTTGGGAGGCTGAGACAGGAGAATTGTTGTGAGTTTGAGGCCCACCTGGGCTACATAGTAAGTTCAAGGCCGGCCTGAATTACATAGCAAGACCGTGTCTCAAAAAAAAAAAAAGGATTGTCTTTCCAACATCAACAGTCTCAAATCACAAAAGAAGTTCACGGTCAGCTTACTTTGAAATACTTGATTTTCATCAGTTTCTATTTCTTTCCTTAGTAGCAGCCATGGCAAATTTTCATTTTATTTAGAAAATGGTTCACTTTCTGTCCCCTTTTAAATGGAATCCACTGGAGTGTGTAGATGATAGCCAAGGGCCACCTCAGGCTTTATTCCTTCCCGGGCCTTCTCCTCTGGTCTGGGTCTCATCTGAGGGCCCTCGTTCTGCCTTTGGGCTTCTGTGTTCCCAGCTTCCCCCCAGAGAAGCTGTAAGAATTCCCACAGTGATCACGCTAGGTGCCTTGGGTGCAGTGTGAGATGGATGCTACACAGTACTGATACCAGACAGGGCCAGGAGGTCAATTCCTCTATATCCACACAAGCCTGTGTTGTGATTTGTGTTTGTGTTCCTTGTAGAATGTTCAATCATTTCTAAATTATAAAAAGTTGAAAGTCAGTGGTCAAAAATCTTTGGTAACCTTAGCCCTCAGCGATGACCACCATGAGCAGTGCAGTGTGGATTCCTCCAGATTTTTGAATGCAGAAACTAAAATGTTACTGTTTGTCAGTGGTACTGTACGTCAGTGGTACTGTACTATACCTAGATGAAGTCTGTTCTTGGACTTGGTATAATGCATACTGGACCTTTTGGAACTCTAAAAATGTCCTACTTTAAACACCATCTATTCCACCACAGTGGGCACTAGATAGGAGAAGCCCTGTAACCAGGCAAAGAGGCAGGGGCTGGTGATCGTAGACAGGACCTGGCATGTGCTGTGTTCTATGGGAGGGAGTGTCACATTCTGCACCCTTTGCAGGGAGCCTTTGTGGCCAATTGTTTAGAAATGAGGAGTGGGGAGCCAAGATACCCAATACCAGAGCACAGCTGAGAGTCCAAGTCAGTGTGGCTCAGACTCCAGCTCCATGGCTTTTGCTGCCCCAATTCCAGGAGGATATGTGTTCTCCTTCCCAAGTTCACTGGCCTCCCATCCTATTCTGCTCCCTCTACCCTGGCCTCCTTGCTGTCCCCTGCCTCGGGGCCTTATCACTAGTGGCTTCTTCTCCCACGATGCTCTTCCCGCACATGCCAGTGTTCCTCCTGTAGGCTTGGCTTGACATCTAACTACGCCTTTCAGAGCACCCCCCAACAGCTGTTCCTGCCTATCCTCCCTGCCTTGCTGTGTTGACCATGTTGCATTCAGGTGTTACTAAGTTCCTTGGTCACATCCCCTATAGAATGAATTTCCCAAAGACAGGGGCTTTGCTTGCCACCAGAGGGTGAGAACTGATAGTCACTGTATTGTCCTGAATCCTTCCAGCCCTGGCTGCCACGCCTCTTGCTTTGTTATCCCTTACTGTTACCTGCATGAGCAGTGAAAGGCTTTATGTGTCATTTAGAGGGGACATTAAGGAAAGTGGAGAAAACCAGGATGATTGTCTTACTTTGTGGCCAGCATCAGGGCAGGAGCAAGAAGATGGAAAGAAAGTCACCTTGGATTGGGGTGCATGGGAAAGAGGCTGCAGTGAACAGCCCCTACTTGGAGTTCATGATGTGTTTGAGGAACCAAAGAGGGAGACTCCAGTCTGCTTCTGCACTGCCAGCTTTCCCAGTGCCCTGGGTCAGTAGGAAGGAAAGG